GTAGGGGGAGGCCGAGCGAGCGCTGAGCTCTCGTGCCTCCGTTGGTAAAAAAATTAGCCAATCACCATCGAGTGTTTACTTTCAGCGCTGAGGAGTGTTGACAAAAGAACCCTCGCAAGGGAGGTTAGCCTCCCTTCTGATATCAACCAATCATCAGAGACGTAAATTACGTGATACCGCCACTGATAAGGAGTAACGATATGTTTTATGAAAAAGTACGATCTTATGCTTTGGAATGTAGTTAAGTAAAAGTAAAAGTTACTCAAAATAAAACTACTCCAGTAAAGTACAGATACTTGAAAAATGTACTTCAGTACAGTAATTAAGTAAAACTACTTCGTTACTGTCCACCACTGGAATTGCGATATGTAGACTCTTTATATCTCACAATTCTGACTTTTTTTCTTAAATCGTGAGACAAAGTCATAGTTACCTTTTTTATTTTTTATCCCATGCCGGAAAACAGCTTTCATAGAACTGACTAGATTTTGGCAGCAAAAATTTGGGGAAGTAAATGTAAACAAGTACAACAGTAAATGTGACGTATTGCTTGGTATTCGCATAATCGGGAGTTTTGCATGAGGGCAAAAAAAGTCCCCCTAGCAGATTTTGTTCTTTGTTCAAGTTGTTCACGCAAATTTGTGGCATTGACCAACAGAAATCTACTTGGTTTCTCCTCTATGCCCCGCCTTTCTTCTTCTTCTTCTTCTTCTAATAACGTTTTATGGCGGATGTAAATTAAACAAATTCAATTTTCCCGATCACCAAACTATCCTCTTTTATCTTTCTCTGAGCCACAGCATTCCCAGTCCATTCTTGTATTTTTATCTCTCTCTGTATCTGCTCGTTTTGTTTTGCTTTTTGGGCTGCTTCAGCATAAGTCAACCCCTCAGTTATTCTCACATTTTGAATTTTCACAGCATGTTTGTGAGCAATGCATCCCCCAAATCCAGCACTATGCTCACCTCCACAGTTGCAGCATTTTGCCTTCGCTCCTTCGCCACATTTACCATATACATGATCACCCCCACATCTCGCACAACGTTGTCTTCCTCTACAAACTGCACTAACATGTCCATACTTCTGGCACTTGAAGCATCTAAGTGGAGGAGGTACGTATGGTCTTACTGGGTAACTTACATAGCCTATTTTTACCCTCTCTGGCATTCTTTCTTCATCAAACTGAAGCATAACCGATAGACTGTCCATCCTTTCTTTATTTCTCACATATTGAAGCCGTTTTGCTCCAATTACCTTCCCCCCTTCAACGCAACTTTTCATTTTATCAGCATGTACATCAGTAGGAATTCCAGTTATTACGCCTCTAACCCAAGGCTTCGTCTTCATCAATGTGCATGATACCGGGTATCCAAGCATCGAATTTATACTTAGTGCCTTATTTTGTTGTTTTTCGCCCTTACACATGATAATCAAGTTTCCATCTCTCAGAGTCTTTGCATTATTTATTTCTCCTAACGCTTTGTTCAGAGATTTGGTCAGTTTAATCGGGTTTATCGTCATACCAGGTTCTGCAAATTTCATCATTACTTTGTATTCCTCTATATTTTTCCTACTCACATGATCCTCCTTTCCACTATCCGTAAATGATCCTTGACTATTGTTTTTCTTTCTTTTCCGATTGACTACTTTCCACCATTCACTCCCTCCTGCACTCCCGCTACACGATTCGTCTTCCATTTACGGTTTGTTTTTTAGACTTGCATTTGCGTTTGTAATTTGTTATTTTGTTTTCAGAATTGTGATCTGCTTTGCACTTCTCGGTCACCGTAATTTCCGGATCACTACCAGAGCTACCGTCATTTCCTGCCATCAGTGCTCCAGTCACAGTCCAGTGTTGCCAAAACCGCCAGCTCCCCTCTCACCCGGGTCCATACCGCCCCGCCTTTCTGAAACGCGTCGATTTTTACAAAGGCATAGACTAAATACTGGGTGTTTCAGGTCTGACGACATCAAGTGGGCGTGGTTTGAGCGCAAGGTCAAGGAGCATGCGCAGTTTACACGCTCCGTGTGAAGCCCGCGAAGCGGCGATGATCTCGTTGGTACTCAACGGTTTGTTTCATTTTCTCTCATTTTAAATATGACTGATCTGATGTTAAATGTTAAAAACTGCAAAAGAAGTACTTTTTTTTAGTGAAAGTACAAGTTTTACTCAGGTTTTGTGCTTGTTATCTCAG